AGACGCGTGTTTAAATAAATAAACTCACAAAACCCGAAAATCATGGATTTCAGAGCAGCTGATACTTTCGAGTCCAGGAAGCTCAGAAAAACGATGCAGTCGACGTGCGAGGCTCCGGAAATGAGTCAGGTTCGGGAAAAAGGCCGTTATGTGCAAAAGGTGCTAAGGAGAAACTATTAGAATAGCACGTAAGTGCTCAGAACAGGCTTCCTTTGCTAAGCACCTTAGCCAACTAATCTCTCACTTCAAAAATAACGGGTATCCTAAACCTATTTTACTTGGTCTTTGCAATAAAGCCTTTACTAAGTACCCAGCACTTGGCATCAAACACAATTGTGACCATGAACAATAAACGCCACTTACTTCTGCGATTCTAACATACTTTTCTTCTTCTTTTTTACCTTTTCCCGCTAACTTTCCCCTCCGTTCTTACTTTTCTTGGCTTTCCTGCCAGAATTCTAGCCCGTAGACTACGCGCCGTTACTATGCCACCCTTTACCTAACGTAAACGATTCAGCAAACTAGGCTGTAGCGAACTGAAAAGAAAAAGAAAGACTTCTACCCCGTTATAAACTGGATTTCTAACGTTCCCGATAAAGTTCCTGATAAACTTTTCCGAAATAATTTACGATTTTAATTTCCGCTAGGGAATACAACTACGGAGACCCGACCCTAACGCAAATTTGCCTGTCTTGGACAAGGCTCTACTACTTTTATTTCCTCACTTTAGCTCTTTCTTGAGCAATTTTCCTTTTCTAATTTACTTTAGTTAGTAAAAATTGGCAAAAAGGGGCTGTTTTATTCCATTTTTCAATATTCCGTATCATTACACTTTACAAAGAGCCGCCGTGAGACCCAGCCCCCAAAATTGAACGTCACAATACACATTACGGATTTTTTCGTGTACTGTAGCAGCCCTCGTCGCAAATTTCATTCATTTTACGGTCTTCTCCATCTTTCTCTTGCTTCTCTTGCGTCCTTGACCAGTTGCGGCCTGCTCTCAAAGGCTTGGGCTCGAAGGATGCAACCAAGATCAGCATCAACATCAGGCTCTGCACGTAAGCCTTTTTAGTTTTGCTTTAATGGAACTCTTAGGGGGCTCTACGCATCAGGTCACCATCGGAGAAGCCAAGCAACAGACGGTTCCGCCAATTTTACGAGGTGCGAGTGAAGGAGCTATCCAAAAGTATGGCTTACGTGTTTGCACCAATGTTTACTTTAGCAAAGCATACGTCGTCTACGGAGCTGGTAAAGCCTTTCTGCGTCGTGACGAACCCTGCTCCCGCCACGACATCGGCAACGGCCAGGAGCGTCGTCAGGGCTTGACGCAGGGCGTTCGATTCATCGAAGGAAATGGTGGAGGCGACGACAAGGTTCCACGTGAAGAAACGAGGCGCATGGCGGCTCTCGTCCTTGACGCCAAAGTCGGCTCCTTCTACAAGACCAACTCTTTCATCGTGTCGATTGCGGCCTTGAACAATTGGTCCAATCCCAATGAGGTCTTTTGGAACTTGTCGACCGTGAAGCGTGCACCGTTATTTCAACGGTGAGTGAATCCTTCTCGGTTTTAACCTCTTGATGCTTAGGTTCTCGTTTGGAGGTGATGATGGGCACCGGCTACACGTTCATTGCGAGTGGTTTCGACTTCAGCGACGACGTGGATTCAACTTTCGCGCGGTGCGTGACTATGAACAGGTGAGTTTTGAGCCAAGGGGGGGGGTATCAATCAGTTAGAGAGTCTACCCCTTTTGAGAGGGTAGCTCCTAGAGGAAATAAAGGAAAATAGATTATTAATGTAAAGTTAGTAAAGAAATTAGAAAATGATAGAGTAATTGCTCAAATGAGATAAATTAGTGAAAATAATTTGGAAAGGCCTGTTTCGACCCTTTGTCCAAGACAGGCAAAACATTCGCTAGGGTCGGGTCTCCTCAGTTGGAAGCCCTAGCGGGCAATAAAATAGTAAAATTATGTGGAAAAAGTATCTATCCTACTATATATAAAAAAATAGTGTTTGTGTGTGTGTGTGTGTGCCACTTTGCATCCACTTCCGTCTGTCTGTCCGGAGGATATCTCAAGAAGGGACGGGTATTAGGCTACGTATGATACGTCATTAGGTGCGTAATGGTCTAGGGATGACTGCACACATATCAGATTTTGAAAAATTAGCCATTTTCGCTATCCTACTATATATAAAAAAGTAGTGTCTGTGTGTGCGTGTGTGTCGATTTGCATGCAACTTCCGTCTCTATGTCCGGAGGATAAGTCAATAGGAGATGAATATTAGGGTAAGTATGATACATCATTCGGTGCGTAATGGCTCTGCCGATGACTGCACGCATAACAAAATTATCGAAATACGCTATTTTCGATATTAAAAATAAGTTTTTCTAAAATTTTTGAGAGCCCTCTTTGGTAGGAAACAATTAGCGTATACCGGAAGTAGAAGAAGCCTATAAAAGGGGATGGAAGAAAATTTTTCATTTTGTAAGCTTGATTGAGGGGCTGAATTAAAAATTTTACAGTTTCATTTGTCCAACCGGGGCGAGGGTTGAAAAGTCGCGAAGCGGCCCCGTCTAACCAAGTCTAACTCCATAAAATTCTTCCTTTGCATATTCTTCGAATTGCGATAAGAAAAAATGAAAAATGGCACCTCTACCTGATTATATAGGCTACCGCCATTCCGGTGCATGCTAATTGTTTCCTAACAAAGAGGGTGGCCGAAATTTTTACATAAACTGAAATTTAATATTTAAAACAATTAGTTTTGTAAAATCTGATAAGCGTGCAGTCCCCAGAGTATTACGTACCTAACGACCTATCAAATATACCTAAAAGTTATTCCCATCGAGATATCCTCCGGACATGGTGACGGAAGTTGCATGCAAAGTATCACACACACACACACAAACACTATTTTGAATACCCATGATATTACAGGTTTTTGTAATACGGGTGCTAGATGCCTTGGCCATTGTCTTGGGGATTTTCAGGTCGGATATGCTTTCCTGGTCGAAGCTAGTCATTTTTTCGCCGGAGGTGGATAATGGGGCGTTCAGGATAGTTAGAAATGAAATTCAATAAAAATTCAATTAAAACAAAATAGTAAACGCAATTTTTAAAATTTTCGTGGAAAGATTTTTTTCAAAAAGTCTAAGCCTGGTCCTACTATATATAAAAAAATAGTGTTTTGTGTATGTGTGTGGTGCCACTTTGCATCCACTTCCGTCTGTCTGTCCGGAGGATATCTCAAGAAGGGACGGGTATTAGGCTACGTATGATACGTCATTAGGTGCGTAATGGTCTAGGGATGACTGCACACATATCAGATTATGAAAAATTAGCCATTTCCATATTAAATTTAGGTTTTGTAAAAACCTCTTGTCAGGAATAATTAGCATAGACCGGGGTGGGTCGTCGCCTACACAAAGGGGACGAAAGGGTTGTTTTTCATTTTTTTGTCTTCTGAATGGAGGACAATTATGCAAAGGGCTGAATAGTATGGGGTCGGCGGACCAGGGTTGAAAAGTCGCGAAGCGGCTTTCCAACCCTGGTAAGAATGAAAATTGGTTCGGGAGTGTTAAGAAATTATATTTTGTGTTTCGGGGAAGTAGTTTTTCATTTCTTTTCTGCTTGCTACAGCCTAGTCTGCTGATTCGGTTACGCTAGGTAAAGGATGGCATAGTAGCGGCGTGTAGTCTACGGGCGGGAATTATGGCAAGAGAGCTAAGAAAAGTAAAAACGGAAGGAAAAGTAGTAGTGAAAAGGTTAAAATGAAGAAGAAACTATGTTAGAATTACGAAAGTAAACGTTGAATATTTTTATGGTCACAATTGTGTTTAATGCCAAGTACTGGGTATTTGGTAAAGACTTTTTTGCATAGACTAAGTAGAATAGGTTTAGGATACCCGTTATTTTGTAAGTGCGATATGAGTTGTTTGAAGGTGCTTATAAAGAGTTTGTTCTGAGCATTTACGCGCTATTCTAATAATTTCTCCTTCCACGAGCCATTTTTTATATGCATAGGAGATATTAGATCGATAATTAGGAAGGCGATGTAACCTTAAATTTGTAGTCATCAACCTTATTGTAAGTTCAGCATGAATTTTATTGTTAACATTGAAAATTCTGAGGTCTAGAAAGTTACCACTTTTGTTATCTACGTTAGTTTGCTCTAAAGTTAATTCGATAGGGTAAATTTCGAACAAGAATTCTTCAATATTAACACCATTTTTATATAGAATGAGTATATCATCCATATATCTATGTCCAATAACATTGTTAGTAGCATTATCTTTAAGATATATGTATTCCGTAATAAGTTAATGTTAGATCTGCAATCAGTTGGGCTACAGTTTTGCCCTTGTGGTATGCCTTGTTTTTGCTGGAATAATAGTTTTTTATAGGTAACAAAACTATTATTTAGGATATAACCAGGGTTAAAAAACACCTTGCGACTTTCACCCTGGCCCTATCTGAACCCATGATATTCCTCACCTTGCATAATTCTGCGATTTCCATAACCAAAAAATGAGAACAGCTACCTCTCTTCCCTTATACCGACATCCGACAACTTCCGGCGTATGCTAATTCCCACACCAAGAAGCTGGCCGATTCTCAAACACAAAACTTAATTTTAACGTCGAAAACTTATGAGTTTTAAAAAGTTTATTGACGTGCAGTCATCCCAGTCCATTACGCACCTAATGGGCGTATCAAACGCTGCCTCTTAACTACTCCCTTTATTAAGTACTACTGGAACAACCAGCCGGAAGTTGCATGCTAGTGTCACACCCACACACACACAACGAGACGTTTCGGCCAAAAGGCACAACTCAGCATATTTTATATATAGAAGGATTGACCAAAAAAATTATTTCTTTCTTACCATAGGCTGTAAGGCCACGTTTGAGTCTTTCAGTATAACGGAACAAAACTGATCCGAGAAATTTTCCATTTACAAACCTCCCAGTTTTGGTGAAAAAAAAATTAAAGTGGGTCGCCTCTCCCCGTCCCCCCCCGCGAGTGCCCAGCCCCCACTAGCCCACCCATCCCCGCAATAGCGCCCAGCCACCACTAGCCCATCGAATGTGTGCCACCGCAACACGGCCCACTTCAGTTCTGCAGCCACCACTAGCCCACCCATCCCCGCAATAGCGCCCAGCCACCACTAGCCCATCGAATAGTGTGTGCCACCGCAACACGGCCTCCCCCAATAAGTGCCCAGCCACCACTAGCCCATCCATCCCCGCAATAAGGCCCAGCCATCACTAGCCCACCCATCCCCCCGCAATAGCGCCCAGCCACCACTAGCCCACCGCCACGCATCCATTCATGGCGGGGTGCCAACTATGCATC